AGGTGGAACAAATAGCCCATTAAGACTGCACTAAAAATACTGACGAATGTCAAATAAAGCTAACTGTGGTGCTACAGTTAATACAGCAAAATGAAAAAAGTTTTGCCAAGAAGCTTTTTGAGGTTATAGTGAGCACTTGGAATACTTTTCCTTTCTGTGTATTCAACGTTACAATAATTTTCTGCCATTGGAGGCAGCAAAATATACCATTTTAGGGTCCTTTCTCTTACACTCATGTAAAAACAGAATACTTTAAGTGTAGTCAGTGGCATTTTCCTACATGAACCTTCATGCAAACAAGAATGTGGGCTACTTTATTAAAGTAGTATTTAAATAGCTTAAATTCCTTAAATAATTTAAGGAATATCAGTATTAAAAACTTTTTTCTGTAATTGTTGTCCAATCCAATTCATTACAATGAATTTTTTTTTTTCTGTGATGTCATAATTCATACCTTTATAAGCCCACTTATTAATTATCCCGTGTTATTGATATCTGCTTCACCAATAGCAGAATTTCCCATTCTAGCTTTTGTTTGACTTAGTAATGCTTAGCATGACACAGGAGACAAGCTGCCTCAGCCTGTTGCTCTGCTGTCTTTTATCAGTGCCACTGTTTTGGAATTGTGAAAAAATGCCTTATCCCTTCCCACATACTCTGACATTTAAGTAGGCAGTGACTGTTCATTTGAAAAATGAATGTGTGGGGCAGAAATTTCCTGAATGATGGTACTGGAAACCAAACCCTGAGAGATGAGCAGTAGGAAATTTTCAGAGGGATGATTCAGAGTTTGTCTCTCTCAGAAGCCCATTGTATATTTGGACTCTCAGCTATGTGATGAAGAATATGTGTAACCCAAATCTCTGTAGTATCTTTTCAAAGGATCTTGATTAGTATCTTGGTTATCTGGAGGTATTTCTACCAGTACATAAATTTTCTGAAAATTTATAACCATCTTCCAACTTTCAACTTTCTAGATTAAATTAATGAAATACTTTACTAGTGATAAAATCCCTGTGCCCCTGTACTACCCGTCTCTTTCCTCCTTCTTCCTCTGTACTAAACCTGCCTCTTTGTGGAAGATGTGTGATAGATCATTGTAAAGGAAAGGAATGGACTCTCTGCAGGCAAGCAGTAAAACACAAGTACAAACAACAAACCAAAACATGAATTGATAGCGGAATCCCCTTTGTGTGGTTGAAGCTCTGACTTTGGAGTCATACTTTGTTAGCACTTTGAGGCATGCTGGTATCTTAGCACAGCGTATTTCCCCGTTGTGTGTTACCACTTCCATCATTTCACAAAGACTGGGAATAGCAGTGATCTTTCCCAAAGGCCCTCTTATTTGAAGCAATGAAAGCTTGTTCCCCCTTGGAAAATTCGGGAGCCACCAACCTCACAGTATGTGGAGTAACTTCTAGTGATACTATTCTGATACTGAAAGGGAACAAAGAAGGGGCATATTTTATTTTATTTTCTACCAGAGAAAAAGTTATCTTTAAAAATATATATGCCTTTTGTATATGCTTTGTGACAGACATACAGCCTGAAGACTGGCACGTGACAAGGGGAAATCAATAAAAAATGCATAATGACATAAATATTTATAGAATAGCTAGATGCTTATAAAATGACAGGGAGAAGGCAAGAAGGCTTTTAGAATAGCAAATGTGTGCTCTAAAATATATTGGAATTCTTCTGAGTGAGTTAAAATGGGGTAAAGAGGCATTGCATGGGCTGTCAAAGATGTTCACGACACCTTTAATCAAAGTCCTTTCTAAGCAACCATGAGAAAAGTTTCATCAAAGAAGTGCAGCTAAGTAAAAGTTGGAAGGCAGAGAAAGAAAAAAGGTTTCAGAAAGGATGAGGTTATTCACTGATGATCCCAGTGGGACTTGTAAGGATTGTTTATTGCAACCTAGGAAAGTAAAGAAATGGTTCTCTAGGTTTCTGGCAGGATTAAAATGAACCATCTTTATCCAAAGACTAGAAATTTCCCAAGTCAGCTAAAATATTTTTTATAATATAATTTTGCATATGACTGGCTGTTGATTTGGTCATACACCTGTTAATACGTACATCTGTAAGTTATGCCTGTAAGACTGCAATGTTTAGCAGCAGCAAATAGGAAAACATGTGGGTAAGGCTGGAGATGAACAAATTTGGTTCCCTAAATGCAAGTAAAAATTTCCTATAGTCATGCTTCTGTCCTGTCCTGAGAAGTTAGGAATTAGCCAAGCAGTAAAGCCTCCACAAGAGGACTTACATTGTGGGACTTGGGTCCATTTGTTCTCTGTGTTGATGTAAACATCAAATATAAACTGGAGGTTTTGTATGGAGGAATTTTTTCTGCTTGTGCTGCAGATGGCTGAGTTTGCTCAGTCTGCAAAAGCTTCAAGAAAAGTACATAATGAAAGAGGAAATTATGCTAAAAATGGAAGAAGCTATGCAAGAGACCAACTTGTTCTGCTTCTAACAAAAGACCAGCAAAAGCTTCTTCAGTGGAGATATCCATATCAGGGGACAGGTTATTTTTGCTGATGATTTCTTGCTTACAGAATTCTCTCTCCCGTTAGTCCAAATAGAGCACAATTTTGTTAATGGTTGGGTCAGAGTGCTAATTATCTTTATGAAAAATGGATGGGCAGACAGGCCAGGAGATAGATGCTTCCTAATTTGTTAAGGGCTTTTAAAGATAAATGGCCTTGAAGTAGATTTGTTTTCAAACAAATAGCCAGTAGAGTGCTCAGAGCAGTGGCACTGTCAGGTCTCATCAGTTTTTTTTCAGAGTGATGGATGTTGCATATGCTGTCCATTGACGTGGTCTTTCCCATCAGAAGTTCCAATTTCTTAATAGTTTTTAGGGCAATGGTTATAAATTATTGCAGCCCAATTTTATTACTGTTTTACATCTACCAAGGACTGAGCCCTTTGTGCAGCTTTATATTAACTCAGCGAGCACCATTAAAATATTGACATTTAGGCTCATTTTGATAGCATTAATCATAGCATTTGATCATGCATTAATTGCAGTGGTTTGAAATGACTGAAATGTTCACTTTTCTAAAAGCAGGAGAAACAATAATTTCGATTTCTCCACTTTTTCAACACATAACTGTGCTTAAAAAAAAACCACACCAAAACACAACGAACCAACCCAAACCACAAAAATCTCCTGCGTGTGTGTGCTGGGGGCATCCACTTCTCTGCTTCTTTGCAACTGAGCAAGTAAGAGCCAGCAGCTCTTACAGGCCTCACTGGAACCTCTTGAAGTGTCATCTCTGAAGATCAGCCTCTGAAGTCTCAGTGTGGACAACCACAGCCAAGCCTTGGTTTCAAAAACATATCTGAATATATAATAAGAGTCCTTCTGATGTGGAAAAAAAAAAAAAAAAAAGCTAAAAATCTCTAGTGTGTTTTCATATGTTGATACGGCTTAAGGGTTTAAAACAGCACAGAAATGCCTTTTGTGATTCACCAGCAGGAGGAGGTTTACAGCACCCGTGTCTATTTGTATTATCATACCAGTAAAAGATGTTTGCTGGCTCTCTTCAGTGGAGGGCACCACTAAATGATTATGTTTAATATAAGGAGTTGGCAGCCTTTCTCACTTAACCATCATTAGGAGATCTGCTGCTGAGGTCCTGGTTTGTGAGGCAGCTAGAAATTGGAATTTAGTTTGAATGCATTGTTTTCTACCTTTCGCTTAAAGTTCAAGGACAAGGCAAAACTGTTCAGATAGTGCAAAGAGAAAGGTGTTTCTCGCTTTCTTTTGTTTACTTGGTCCTCTGGCATCTCCATTATTTTCTGAGTAAATCTATTTCCTAAGTAAATTTGTTCTCCTATATATACATGAATTAAATAGAAGTGTGGACCATGTCAGAAAAGATTCCAGTGGAAGACATGATGGAAGGTATTTGAAGGCAGCACACAGAAGCTGTGATAAACATGTAGACTTATTAATGGCATAAAAATATCTAGGTCTTCAGAACAATACTGTTATTTCTCTTTTAGGGAATTGAAGGTTAGAATGGATCAGTGGAGAAACCCTAAATCACTTGAAAGGCAAGATGCAGAATAGTGGTGTCCTAGTCTCCTAACCATGCATTTCACTCGTTATTTTGAAGATTGTCCCAACCCCAAGGTGTTCCTGCACCTTCAGGGCTTTCACCACCTGTATTTTCACTGGTAACATCATATGGCTTAAGCCACAGCTTTACCTGTAGCCTTCTGCTATACTGGATCTGCTCAAAACTCCAAAAAATTTTCTAGTGACAGAGGTTTTCTTTTTTCAATTACAGTGGCTTCACATGACCAAATAATACTTCATTAACCTGATTGCCTAAGGATTTCAAGCTCCTGAGGAAACTTGTATTCCTATATGATTGGCAAGATAATTAGGAAGTGAAATAATGCAAATCCCACCACAGGCAACCGTCATAAGATTTATGTATTTACTCTTTGAAACCAAAGTGTGTCATATATTCAATTCTTTTATTTTAAGGCTTTTAGAGTTGTAGGTTTATTATCGGCCTTCACAACGGACATATTGCTAGGGCAGGAGGCTTTAGGAGCCCAATCAAGTTGAATCAGTTCAGGTTGCTGTTAAATCCACTGAGATTTTTAGTCTGCAGTATCACCTAGATAACACAGGCTGAAGTTTGCTTTGCTTTTGCTAGCTTTGATTTTAAGCTCCTTGGGCATGGCCTTTCATTCTGTATTTGTAAAATATCTGCTGGAGTGGATCTACCACAATTGGAGCTACCACAATTGGAGAAGATGTAGGCACAGAAGCCACTGATGGCAGCAAGAGTTCTTCATCCACCAGAAGAGTGGAATGTTGGACCTAGATTAGGGACCGCTTCGTACGGAGTCAGCTACAGCCTTCTCTGTTAATAGAGACCAGGGCGAAGCTCATATCAGTAAATGCTACATCCAGGCAGCAGCAGCAAGTGGGAGATTAAATGAAAGTGCTGTATAAATGTGGGGTCCTGCTGAGGATGGCCTTCAGTGGGTAAAAGTCACTTATAAATTAAATGTTTAGCAAAACCCTACCAAGTAAAAGGTGTCTAATGAAGTTCTGGCAGCTTCTCTATCTGAAAATGATGAAACTAAGAAGCAGGGGAATTAGTGGAGTTGCTCTGAGGTGGTTGGAATAAAATTAATATGGCAAAAGCAAAATTAAAAAAGGGTGAAAAAAATCTATATTCTTGGTAGTAAGAATCAACATTTATCTTACAGGAAACCTGAAGTTTTGCCTTCTGATTCTGAACCAGCCTTTCGACAAAGGTCATTTTCATTGTCTGTGGAGCAAAGGTAATAATAACTTACTTACATCTTCATTTATGTATTTACTTGTCTGCTGCCCAGCTAATGTACTTCGTGTCTGTTGAATTACAATGTGGTAATTTTCTCTTAACTAGAGCAACCTTCTGGTGAGGGTAGGAATCATCAGAATATGTCCCTTGTTGCCGAATGCAGCAAATGAGCTGATTATGCAAATTTTGCATCTCTGCATTGCTTACGTCACTGGGAACTTTATGGACTGATCTGTGTAAGACTGTAGCTTTTCAGAGGCATCTTAGGAATGATCATTGTTTTGAAGACAAAGTGTAATAGATCAATGGTGCATTTAAGAGTCTGGAAGCAAGTATTCCTTTAAAGGTCATCAGTGAAATGTATTAATTTTAATCTAAATAAAATGAACCATGTAGATACTACATTGTGGAAGCTGTGGGAATTTGCGTGCGTGTCAGAAATATGCAAATCGTATTTCACTACCGCTTTGTTTAATATGCACGGTGCTAATCATCATCTCTGGTATGATAGCTGCAGATTTACTGACATTTTGTGGAGATACGTAAATCTTTACAAGCTTGGAGCTATTAATTCCTTCAGTGCACAAATGTAGTCCTTCAGAAGCTTTCTGACAAACCGCGGGAACTGTCTCTAACTTGTTACTAGGCTGGGAACCTTGCAGAGAGATTCCTCTTAACTGACTGGGGCAGATAGAGCTATTTGATTTCACCAGAGGCATAAGGGCTGGCAGGGGGTACCTCTACAGTTAAAAGTAATTGGTGTAAGGGATGAAGCGGGCAGGATGTATTCATAGCACTTAATTCCAGTAAACCTAAATTAGGTGCCTATATAGGCAGAGGAGTGAGAAAAGAAGGGACAGACTTGCACAGGATGGTTCAAAGCATCTGAACGAGTACTGTACCCCAAATGAGCTCTCTTTCACTTGCAATATCAGCAAGAAATGGCATCAAGAAGTGCTCAGTGAAAGGGCTGTCAAATGTATTTTCTAGATGTGATATACTACATATTTTTTTTTATTTAAAAGGGTACACTGAAAGACATATTCTGTATTAAATAAAGAAGGAAAGAAGGGTAAGTATTTTGATCTTATTTTTTTGTCCTCCCTTTCCTGTGTTTTGAGGGTTGTGGTTAAAAAAGAGACAGCAAAGCAGATGTTCACAGTTACTGAATGACAGTATTTAGCATCTTGTAGTACCTTGCATGTCTTGCTTTTATGCTGTGTTCTGTTAATCAGACTTTTTGCGTCTATCCTTTGGAATTTTTAGTTGTCTTCTTTCAATCAAACCTGTGTGGGGTGACCCTTGGGGTGTGGAGTTCTTACTGTAACACTAATGGGCCCTTAACTGTAGTGCTTCAGTGAAGGCTTGGCATAAGAAGCTGAATAAAATTGAGTAGACCACAGACCGTCTTGATTGAGACTACCTCAGTGGGTGCCTGTCCTCTGAGCATAACTGTGTTGAAAGTGTTGAAAGTAATTGCTAATACTGTGAATAATTTTTCAGAGTCTGTGAAGTTAGGAGCAGAAGTCCTGTTAGCTAATAAGACTTTTGCTAGAAGGTAACTTCCAGAAATAGGTGGATATTTTCTAAGTAAAATGATGGAGGAAGGTGGTGGTATAGTGGACCTGAAATGTTTTTCTTCGAAACATCTCAGCTTCAGTAAATCTCAGTGTATCCAGGACAAGGTTTTGGCAATGCCTTACTGACAGTCCTAGTGGACTACTGTAGGTGTCAGCAATCTTGTGCTTCCTGGATCCTGCTTCTGAAGGAGTCTCAGCAGAGAGACTGTTCTAGGACTAAGAGAATCTGGGGGGGTTGGTATGTGAATTGGAAGAAGTTCTGAAAGAACGAAGCATCCTTAGAAACAGTGCTTGATGACCAGCTGTATATGCTTGAAATCTCATAAAGGAGTGATGAGAAGGAAACAGTGGGCCTGGTGATCCACAGAGTACTGCCAGCTACACAGACTGGGGGAAAAGGGAAAAGAAAAATTGCAGAGAAAAAAAATAAAAAATTGACCAACTTAGAGAAGTTATAGCAGTCGTGGGTGTTATACTGAGTACAGAATGCTGAGACATATGTTATTTTCAAGTTCTGTCCTGTCAAAATAACTTGTTTCATTAGCCCTGTTAACTTTAGCATCTCATAAAAATGAAGGTGTGATGTGCTATGTCCTGAGTGTAAAAAATAAAATAAATCACATCAATAAGTGTGGCTATTCTAGGCTAAAATCATCCCAGGTGTAACTCCTCTCGACCTCAGGAAAAAGTCGTTGCAGCTAATTAGCCTTTGTCTTATTACAGACTTGTATGAAATCTATTTTTACTGACATACTTTAGAAAGTACTATTTCAATCTGTACAAGTTTGCATGAAGTTCCTTCCCTGTGCTTTGTGAAGGACACTGAAATCTGATTTCTTCACTTCCAGGCTCCAGCTTTTACCACTCCGTACAATCTGGATAGTGACAATAGTGAGGTAGTATAAGCTAAAGACTACCATGATTTTAGTCTCTTATATCTATTGATGTAGAAAACCACTCTAGAACATGTTCTCTGTGCATTAGGTACAGTCATACTGCATTAGTGCTGTCCTAAAGGTGGGATGAATGAAATGCTGGAGAAGGGATAGTTTGCAAAAGCAGAACGAAGATTAATATGACAGAAAACACTGGTAGTTCACCGAAGGGTTTATTGGGTTGGATATAGTGGGGAGGGGAAAAAACAAATGGCAAGAGAAAAGGTCAGTAAAGGGGGATAAGGGAAAAAGGTCTCACAGAAAGCGAAGCTGATAAAAGGAGACTGAATGTGAGAAGATGAAGTGGATGCAGAAGGTTGAGAATAGACGATGAGTGAGCACAATGCTAGGAACATCAATCAAATCCATCAAAAGTGCTTTGACTGTAGCTCTTAATGCAACCATTTTTACCAGTGGAAGTTGTATGGCTTCTGTTGCAGTCCTTATTCTAATGGTGGGAAACGTAGAAGTGACAGGTCCTGCTTTTCTCAGAGCTGCACATTTTTGTGTCCAGTAGGTTCCTCTAAGAAGGACTGGATTCAGTGGGGCCTTATCTTAATAGCCCTGTCACACATCCTAAATTCTTGCTTATATTTCAGCGATGTTTTTAGCTCCTGGTTTGAATCCTGTTTAACAAAAATAATTGGTAGGGGAAAAAAAAATCTAGTTTACATTAGTCTCTAGGGCTACTTGGCAAGTGGTTTCAGATGTAAATATATCTTTAACAGAAATGACTGTGACTTGGAAGTTGGAAGCTGTCCCTACATTAAGTTTCGAAAGTACAGAGGCCTGGGTTTTAGTAGCTGAAAACAGAAGGGGCTTTCTGGAGAGTAAGTAAAAGTTCTTGAGATTCTGATTCAGCTCTTTAAAATCTCTTTAATCACAAATTCAATTGACTTATTTATGCCAAGAATTTCAGCAAGATCTAGTGATCACAAGTGCTTCTGGTTTTTTGATGTCTCCCTAGTGAAGTACCAGGAGAGGGGCAGAATTATTGCAGTCCTAAGAAATCACCTCTGTAATATTGTCTCAAGTTCAGGATCTGAAAATTGTTTCTTGTTTCCGAAAACATTGCCCTTACAAGCTTTACTACTCAAATGATCCAGAATTGTCTTCATGTCCTTGCTTGATGGTAGTATGCTGAATGGCTGTGCATGGTAGAGTACTTCCCATTCTTAAATGTTAACCACAGGTGTAAAGAGCATGAAGTTATACTCTGAAAAATGAGATGATTATTACTTCAAGAATCAAAGTAAAATGGCAACATTCAACAGCAATCTGATGAAGTTCCCATCTGTGCTGGGAATGGGACGTTTGTTGATAAATAGCATTTTTGGATTTGTTTGTGGAGAATGACATATTTACAACAGATCTTTTCGTAGGTTCCATTTAACCTCTGGTTGGGTGTTCGTATATCCATGGGTTTAACTGATAAATGCAGTTGCAGAATTAAAAATATTGGTTAATATAGTTCTGCTTGGCTGAAGAGAAAGACTATTACACTTGTGCTTTATGGTAAGAAAACATATCCACAGGTTCTTACAGTGGTTGTGATACATCAGCCACTGTGTCTTCCTCAACAGAATTGTGATCTTTTTCTGCAAGTAAAGGCTTTCCATGAAAGCTTTTAATCAAATGGAACATGTTGAATTACTTTAAATATTAGCCATTCATGCTACAAAATGTCCTTGGCTGATGTACTAGAATAAACTACCAATATCCTTTTGGAACGGGCTGACTGAATCCTGACTTGTGGTATGTGTATTTAATGTTGGACAAGCAGATGGGAAGGAGACATCTTTGAGACCAGGCTGCAAAAAGGTCTGTCCTTCAGGAGTACTTCCCTAAAGAGTCTCTTTCATGGACTGTTTTTTTCAGTGAAGGAATTTGACATCTAGCTATGTCTCCTTATTATACTGCCCTACCAGCCACTTTTCTATATGCATAATATATAGGCATTTCATGAGACTTTGTAGATCATGAACATGAAGGAACACCAGAAGGAGGAACGTTGCTCACCCTAGAGATTTCAGCTCTATATTTTGGGGGGGAATCTATCTACTGAGATAGAAAGAAGCATTACTTCTACAGTAGCAGTGTAATAACTCAAATCTATACTGTGTTAGACTGTCTTCATGTAAACAGTATTTTCTTACAGCACATCTGTTGCAAATGCCTATCCTTAAATTGAATTTTTGCAAGTTTTCATCTCTATCAATATCCATTTTACAACAGTCAAAGTGGCTATTGGATTTTAAATAGTGTCCTGGATGTGAGGCAACTTCCCTGTCAAGCTCAGCCTACTGTTCGGTGAAAATGCTGCTAATGAATGGATTGTTAGCAGCTGAAGGTGACTGCCAATTACAAAAGATCTCCTCTTCCTGAGTAATCAAGTATGGAAAGGTGCTAATTTGTATCATGAATTTCTGAGTCATCTGTCTTTGAAGGCTACATGCTCCCATGCATTTTATGTTCCATATGCT